CTCACTATCCTGGGAAGGTGCCTTTGCTCTCCAGGCCCATAGATACCAGCCGGCCGCAGAGCACAGCTTCTTAAGACACCATCACTTCTTACCAGGCTGGTACCATTGGCCTCCAGCACCTTCTTCTCTGCAATAGATTTGGTCCGAGAGTAGTGATCGGGATGGAGGTGAAGAGGTAGGTAAGGCAGAGATTCATCTCCATTTCTGATAACTTGACCTCCAAAGATGACATTGAAAGTGCTGGTGTAAACAAATCTTGGCACCCCTCTCCTCCTGCAAACCTGGAGGATGTTGTCTGTGCCCCCCACATTGACTTCTTCAATCAGGCTCCAATTCAGCTGCTCCCGCCCCGACATGCCGTAAGAGGCAATATGGAACACACACGTGACATCCGCATCCTGGAAGGCACTCTCCACGTCAGAGAGGTGGCGAATGTCTCCATGGATAAACTTGATTCCTTCTGGAATAGAATGAGCAGGGCTGCTGATGTCAAACAGAATCACATGGAATCCTTTCTGGTTCAGAGCACAGCCTAGGCTGAGATGAGAAGCAAGTTAGATCAAATCGCTAGTAAGCTATGCCTAAGGAAAAGTGCATAAAATAATTTACCAATTAGTGTAGGGCTGATCCAAGCCTTCTAGGCTCATCCCAAGTCCCTTACTTTACATGTTCATTGGTGCAACTCTTACTTATGTAAGTAAGTATGCAAATATTCAAAACTGAGGATCCACACATCTACTCGAATTAAACCGAGAGGCTTTATCTTCTAATACGGTGGCATCTACATATTCCATTCCCCCCCCTCTGTTTATGAAACCACCACCCATTCTTTGGAATATTTATGAATGATAACAGAACTGCAAAAGAATAACTATTATTTCTAATGTTTTTGGTGATGTCAGTTATCTCCCTAATTTAATACCTTTACAAAGAATTTTTCTTAAAGTAGAATACATCTGTAGTTCTGAATTTCAGCACCTGAGCAGTGGGCAACCTAGTTCATTTCTGATTTAACACTATTCAAACAAGTAGAAGCTGACACTACATTAATGTCAGAGTTGAAGGCTCTGTTTTTTTTCCAGCAACTAAAGGCTGTTTTTTCCAGCAACTACCAGTAAAATAATTCCATGGACATGTGTGATCGATGCACTGACCGGAAACCAAAATAGCCACCTCCTCCTGTAATGAGGACAGTTTCCTTTGGAGATTTTTCGAAGTCCATGTGTGACAGTCAAAAGATCACTGGACCTATGAGAAAGAAGTATGCAACACTGTTACTGATCCCTCGGAGGCTACTGCTGCAGCAAAAAACAGGGCGCTGATAATAAGCTCACAGGCTTATGAAAACCCAGCAAAATGCCCGACATAATGGGCACTCTATGAAGCCATTTCTCCAATTTCCTTTTCTTCAAGCTCTAGAGTCTGGGGATTGATTGCTCTATTACATTTCCACATACCATGATTACACCTCTCAAATGTACACGGTTGCACAAAGCCTGACAAGTTCTTCTGGATGAGTGTACTAAGTACATCAGATGGCCAGGAAAGCTAACCGGTCCATCATGCAGCGATCAGTTGGTGTGGCGCCTAATGAGGCTGTTTCCAAACACACTGGATGTCAGTCACTGATACTTCACCCCAGACTTCTTCCCTTCAGTATGTAGGTCTGCTTGAATGTCACTTGCTCAATCAGAGACGCTTCTCTGATCCCCCTAAAAGAGCTCCCCTTACCTTAAATACAGCTTTGTTTCTTCATGGTACATTTCGCTACATAAAATTATCTTTTTTTTTTTTTTTTTACTATTGCTCTCCTTCCAAGAGAACTGAGTAAGTTCCATGAGAACTGAGACCTTCCGCCTTTTCCACTGGCAGGTCTGTACCAGAACCTAGAACATGGCAGATGCTCAACAAATATTTGTTCAAATTATGGATGATTTTGAACACTGTGAAATACATCCAGTTCAGTAAAATTATGATGGGCACAAATGACGCAGGGCCCTGCAGTGTGTAAGAGTCATCGTTATGTTTGTCAACGAACACTGCTACTTTCATTTAACTTCTCTTCTGAGAAACGCTGAGTTATGGAGTGAAAACAACACAAAGCTAAATGAGACAGAATTCTGCTTTCTGGAATTTATGATGGAGAGAGCCTTTTGCAAATATCTAAACTACAAAGCGAAAAGGAGAAAACAAGATTACTGTTAAATGTTGGTGTAAGCAAAGTGCTATGGGAGCACTGAGGTGGTGTCGAGAGAAACTGATTCTGAAGGGCGTATTAGAGAAGACTTCACTGAGGAGTGAATCAGGACAAGGCAGAGGCTTACCACCGGCTGAGGGGGCATCATTAATGAATGGAACAGCAACAGGAAGGCTGTGTTGGGCAATTAATACGGTGAGTCCACTGGGGTTGGTATACAAACTGAAGCCAAAGCATGTAGCTGGTGACTGAGGTGGGAAAGATGGCCTAGGGTCGGCTTTGAGACACCTCTGAGTTCCTGGGGGGGAGTGTAGATTCTATTCTGTAGACAGTTGAAAGCCTTTGTAGGTTTACTGAACAGGCTTGCTCCCTTTGGTCCTTGCTAAGGGTCAAGCTTTCCCTGGAGGAGGGTGAGGCTGGAAACAGCCAAGAGTCTCAGTAAAGGGTGATGGGACTGGGCTCGAGGCTTCTCTGTGAGGAAGAAATGCCAGTGTGCTGAGCTGAAAACAGGACAGGATCTGGTGAGCAACTGAGACCCCAGTGGGCAGCGTCCAGGTGAAGTCTGAAGAGTGTGCGGACATTCACTGCAACAGCACACATAGGTTTTAGAAATGTTCCATTTGGTTAACAGATGTTCTATTCTGATTAAGATGATGCCAGATAACAAAGTTTAAGATATTCTTAGTACCTCCACAAGAATTCCATGAGAAGGGATTCAGAAAACGGGCCAGGCCTCAGAGTCCAATTAGGAAAATTCCAACAGAAATTCTTCCTAATCTCTAATTATTCTTTGTTTTTAAAACTGCACATTCCAGTGCAGTCACAGGACCACAAGTCAGCCATGGTTCATGTGCACATTAGTCATGCTGGGAATGTACAAGTTCAGATTATTAACGCATCAGAGTACCTGCCAGGCCTATTCATGCTACTCCTTATTACTTTCCAACTAATTCCACAATGATCTGAAGCAAGAATTTATATAACTGACCTGATCAGGAGGGTCAGAGGAGAAAGGTGGCAATGAGTAAGGAAAAAGTAATGATTTAGCAAGACAAACAGCAAGGAAACGAAGCCTATCCACCACCAGGTGGGTAAAACCTTCACAGGTTACCAGCCATTAGCATTACCACCAGAAGCCACGGCCTCCCTTCCTGGCTCCCCACATCAGCAAGCATAGGCAAAACGCAGTAGACACATTCCTCAGGAAATTGCAAGAAACTCCCAAGAACACTAAGCCAGAAGGGAGAAGAGTAGATAACAGTTTTTCTTCAACCAGCTGCCTGATCTTTACACTTTATGGCTTCTCTTTTATTAATTAGTTACCATCTGATTCCTTCTGGGGCTGGGCACTCAATCTCAACTGCTTTAAGGCTCTTTCAAAACCAGCTTAGTAATTGCTTTCCCCTGAGTGGAGGGTGAACGGTCACATCTGACCTGAGCAGTCATTCTAGTGGATATGGGTTAAAGTTAAGTGCATGAGCCAGAAAAAGGAATCTTAATTACAAACAAGAAAAAATGAAATTTAAATCCACCTGACCTCTTGATAATACTAAGATAAAAGTGAGGGTAATAAAGTTGGTATTTCACAGGGAAGTTATGAGAAAACTCATAAAAATGACTATGGGTACTTTAAATTTACAAAGACCTAATTAAATGCTAAGGATCAGTAATAAGAACCTTAGATAACGCACACAGTTCCTTCATCCCCTGAGTTCAAGATGACAACTGCTAACCCTCGGGTATAATGCAATATACAAATCTAGGTGCTACTGGAGTCCAGAACAGATAGGAGAATTGAAGACTGCTTTCATAAAAATAGATTTTTACTGGGGCGCCTGGGTGGCTCAGTTGGTTAAGCGGCTGCCTCCGGCCCAGGTCGTGATCTCAGGGTCCTGAGATCGAGCCCCACGTCGGGCTCCCTGGGAGCCTGCTTCTCCCTCTCCCTCTCCCTGCCGCTTCCCCTGCTTGTACTCTCTCTCTCTCTAATAAAAAAATCAAAAAAAAAAAATTTTTACTATGTTTGCTTCAAGGAAGATAAAAACAGCTCCAAGTGGTTTAACTCTGTGGTGGTATGTTTTAAATTACTGCCCACGTACTACCTAGAGGCAAAAGGTAACTGTGTTCTTACTGTATTGAGATCAGGAAAATACATCGAGGCTAGACGGTTTAGAAATGGTGCTGTTCAAATTCCATGCGTGATCTGAAAATTATTTGTGCTTAATACAAAGCAGTCAAAGCAATAAAGACGAAGTTGGTAAAGATGATAAGGGGAGTAACCCTGATACAGGTAAAAGGGATGTGAGGTATACAACCTAAAAGGCCAGACACATTTGGGAAGAAAATGAGCTGAGGGCATAGCATTAAGTGGGAAGTCGACATACTCCAGGGGGAAACATCGTGGTTACCAGGGGCTGGGGGCTAGGCGAAACGAGATGTTGGTCAAAGGATACACATTTCCAGTAATAAGGCAGAATGAGTTCTGGGGATCTAATACACAGCAGTATACCTCACTACAGTCAACAATACCTTACCATGCACTTGAAAGTTGCCAAGACTAGCTCTTTAGAGCTCTCAGCATACACACAAAACGCTAATTACGTGAGGCGCCTGAGATGTTAACAAACCTTACTGTGGTTACCATTTCACAGTATAACAAATCAGCACATTGTACACCTTAAAACTACAGTGTTATGTCAATTATCTCAATTAGCAGGAAGGGAAAAAAAAATCTTAAGTTCCCCACCCAGAACTGGTTGTAAGTGGCTGAGCTAGACCCAGGGCTTGAAGCCAGATGTGCAGCACTCCCAAGCCTGGGCTCCCTGTTTTTTTTTAAGATTTATTTATTTCAGGGCGCCTGGGTGGCTCAGTTGGTTAAGCGACTGCCTTCGGCTCAGGTCATGATCCTGGAGTCCCGGGATCGAGTCCCGCATCGGGCTCCCTGCTCGGCAGGGGGTCTGCTTCGTCCTCTGACCCTATCCCCTCTCATGTGTTCTCTCTCTCTCAAATAAATAAATCTTTAAAAAAAAAAAGATTTATTTATTTCAGAGAGAGAGAGAGGGAGAGAGATGGCGCTCAGTGGGGAGGGGCATAGGAAGACGGAGAGAGAAACTCAAAGCACATGCTGCACTGGGCTCAGAACTCACGCGGGGCTCAATCTCACGACCCTGAGATCAGACCTGAGGCTGAGACTGAGTCCAAACGTGTTGCATGGAGCACTGGGTGTTTTGCGCAAACGGTGAATCATGGTGGCTAACATAACATAATATAATAAAATTAAATTAAAAAAAATAAAAAGTCAAAACTAAGGTCGTAGTAAAGTGAAAAAAAAAAAAAAGTCCAAAAGGACTTTGCTACCCAGGCGTCCCCCCCCCACCCCCCAAAGGCTGGGCTCTTAACCAGGCGAGTCGCCCCATGGGGTTGGGACAGTGCACCGTTTACTTACCACCTTTACAATTTCTGTCACATCTGGTACCTCTGCTACCTATTATGTTTGTTTAAACCTATTTACCATTTTACAAGAAATACATTCATTTTAAGGGCGACCCTCACTTTATTTATTTATTTATTTATTTTTAGATTTTATTTATTTGAGAGAGAGAGAATGAGAGAGAGCACATGAGAGGGGGGAGGGTCAGAGGGAGAAGCAGACTCCCTGCCGAGCAGGGAGCCCGATGCGGGACTCGATCCCGGGACTCCAGGATCATGACCTGAGCCGAAGGCAGTCGCTTAACCAACTGAGCCACCAGGCGCCCCCTCTCACATTCCCACTTTAAATGGGAAACCAGAATGATTTGTCGTAAGGGAAGGTAATATTTCCAGGAACTGTGTGATGAAAACAAATGATCAAGTCTAGCCAGATGGAGATGCCTGATGAAAACTCTGAGCTTGGGGTCTGCTCTTTAAAAAACAAAAAAACAAAAACAAAAAACAAAAAACAAGAAAAGAAAAAAAACAAAACAAAACACACCCAGCGGCCAGGGTTTGAGGCCTCCGAGACATTCTAGAAAGCCTGGCGCGCCTGGCTCCTTGGAATCCAGCAGAGAGCTGGAAAGGGGGGGTAGTTCCCGCCACCAGGGTGGGCGTCACCGACTGCCGCGCCGACCACCGCGCGCAGGGACAGGCGGGGCCGCCCACAGCCGCTCTGCTCTCGGCGCTCCCGCCGGCCCGGACAGCGGACCCCGGACCCCGCGGGGCGGAGGCGGCCGCCCTCCCAACCCCGGCCCACTCACAGCGTCGAAGACGGCAGCACCTGCAGACCGCGACAGGCCAGGAGCCCAAGCCTCGCGAGCCCGCCGCCGCCCCGCGCCGCGCCCGTGCCGTCGGACCGGTCTCGGGGAGCCACTTCCGGGCCTCTCTAGGAAGACCGGAGGTCTCGGCATCTCTATGATGTGCAGGTTTCACGTCCATCCTCACCTGTGCTGGGCCAGTGGGTTTGCTCCAGGAATCTCCCCTACGTGCCCAGCCCGACTGTTCCAGCTTCAGGGCCACATCTACTTTTATTCCCACATCCAATTTCTGCTTTTAGACTTCTGCCTCCGTCTTTGTGTACCCACAGTGCTGAGCACGGTGCCTGATAAATGTGTATGTGTGTGTGTGGCGGGGTGTCTCAGCTCAATCAGTATTGCTTGGATAGATAGATGGATGATGAATGGATGGATGACGATGAGGCTCCATAAGACTCCTGAATATTCACCTGTATGTGTCTTTTTAACTCTCCATCTCTGAGTTTCCACATTTATGTGTATGCATATGTTTTCCGGTGTCCCTGATTTTCCCTCTTTTTTCCAATTCCAGTAGGTGTGAGGGCATGGCTGTGGGACACCAACAGCATCTGCTACACACCAGAATCCTCTAATGCTGTGCTTTTTAAGGGTGCTCCATATTGAGGTTGCTGAGGAGTGGGCTTTCTCTCCAATCCCAGTGATTTCCTTGGGCACAGCTCCTCAGGTGTCTCCTGAGGAAGTGGCTTATGACACGAGCCCTAAAGAATGAATAGGAGGCGGCCCAAGAAGAGAAGAAAGGGACATTTTGGTGGAAGAAATAACAGGGCAAAAGTGTAGAGTCGGGATTGAGTGTGATATGTCTAAGGAATAGAGAGGTGCGGGCTATGTCTGTCCTAGGAGGAAAAGGGAAATACGGTTCTGCATACTACTCAGATACTGGAGCTTCTTTACACCTCTGCCGTGGTTTCAGGGAATTGCAGCATTTGAAAAACACTGTCCTGATACACTTTGAGGGCTTCCTTCTGCCCCTTGAGATCCTTCCTCCAGGAGGCCACACTTTCATGGTTGGCGGTTTTCAAACGGTATGTGTTGTGATCAGCTAGGAGGTGTTATAACTAATGTCCTACCTAGAGTATAGTAGTGAGCATGAAGTAATGAATAACTCCCCTTTCTAGTCTTTAGACTTAGAGGAAGTATAGCAAGGAAGTAAGAAACAGACCTTGGAGTCAGAGCAGTGGGGATTTGAATGCCGACTCTTCACAGAGGAGTCCTGAGCTGATGAGATAAGGTGAGGTCTGTGTCCCCCACAGACACCTGCTGGGCAATATTCACTGCTCCTGTTACAGATCACCTTCAAGACTATACGTGCAAAACGTTTACAGGAATGTTCACATCCACATTATTCATAATAGCTCCAAAAAAGAAAGAACCCAAATGTCCATTAATGGGTGAATGGACAAATAAAATGGGATACATCCACACAAACAGAATATTATTCAGCTGTAAAAAGCAACCAAGTACAGACCTTCCTCGACTTACAGTGGGGTTATGTCCTGAGAAAGCCATCGTAGGTTGAAAATATCTTAAGTCAAAAATGCATTTACTACACCTAACCTATTGAATATCATAGCTTAGTTGAACCTACTTTAAATGTGCTCAGAACACTTCCTACAGTTGGGCAAAATCATCTAACACAAAGCCCGTTTTATAATAGAGTTTGAGTATCTGTGTAATTTATCAAATACTGTATTGGAAGTGAAACACAGAATGGTTGTAAGTGGCTCAGTTGTTTATCCTTACGATTGCATGGTTGACTGGGAGCTTTCGCTTGTTGCTGCCACCCAGCATCATGAGAGAGGATCATCCTAAATATTGGTAGCCTGGGGGAAAAGATCCAAATCCCAAATTCCAAATTCGAAGTGCAGTTTCTCCTGAAGGCACATTGCTTCCTCACTGTGGTAAAGTTGAAAAATCAAAAGTCGAACCATCCTAAGTCTTAGGTCAGGGGCCATCTGTACTGATACATGCTACACCATGGATGAACCTAGAAAACATTGTGCCCATGTTTTTATTAGCCAGTTTCAGAAGCCAATCACAAAAGACCACATACTTCATGATTCCATTTATATGAAATGTCCAGAATAGGCAAGTCCATAGAGACAGAAAGCAGATTGGTGGTGGCCAGCAGCTGGGATGTTTGGGGTGCAATGGGGAGTGAGCGCTAGTGGAAATAGGGTTTCTTTCTACAGTGATGAAATATGGTGATGATTGTACAGCTCTGTGAAGGCTAACAATCACTGATTTGTAAATCACCCTTTCCATGGGTGGTTTTACGATATGTGAATTATATAGCTCATTAAAACTCTTATTTAAAAAAGATTAAACCATGGGACACCTGGGTGGCTCAGTCGGTTAGGCGTCTGCCGTCAGCTCAGGTCATGATCCCAGGGTCCTGGGATCGAGCCCCGCATCGGGCTCCCTGCTCCGCGGAGAGCTTGCTTCTCCCTCTGCCCCTCCCCTGCTTGTGCTCTCTCTGACAAATAAATAAATAAAAGCTTAAAAAAAAAAAAAAAGACCACACCTACAATAATGTCTGTCTCTGTGCAATTGCAATGTCATTTGAGTAGGAGAGAACAGGATGGCCAATCATCCTGGACATGCCCACAGAAGATGACAAAATCAATACAGGTAAGAGTTCAGGAGCCGCTGCCTTCGAGAAGTAAGCATACTTCTCCTTTCCACCATCCCAGTATGACAGCTTTGCTCCTGGGACTCTCCTCCCCCCTTCCTCTTTCTCAGAGGGAAAAGAGTACACACCACGAGCAAAAGCGGGGTTTGTATAATAAATGGCTTCCAAATAGCTGCATTGAAAACCGAGAGTCGACTTGTATTGATTTTCATGATCAAATTACTTCATTTTGTCTCTCTTCTAACTGCTAGGGTAATTTTATGCCAGGATTATTTTAGTCATTCTAATTATGCAGGCATCAATATTTAGTGGGTGTTTACCTAACCCACAGCATACCCAAAGGTGTTCCTCCCTCAGAGAGCATGGCAGTACAACATAATATGAATAGGTATGCACGGTACAGAAATGAAGTTCCTTTTATTTCCCCCTCTCCGTTTGTAAGGAACATTCAGGTGGTGTTTCCTGAAAGAAAAACGTGTATCCTATTCAGCTGCATCTATGAAACTAAAGGCAATCCTGTGAGTGCGATGAGTTCATTATATGATACTAAATGCAATTCTTGCACAGATGTTTCATTAGGGATTCAGTTATGCAAGACAAATTAAAATTTACCATTTGTTTAGATTTTCCTTTTTGCAAGACCCTTTCCTCGCTAGTTGCCTGGTATTTGAATTTCTGTCACGGACAGTATCACTCTCCCTCTTTTCCTTTGGGACCCCTTCTCCTTTGACTAACACTCCCCTATTTATGCTCGTCTCTGTCTCTTCCTCCTCCTTCTCCTCCCCCTTCATCCCCTCCTCTTCATCTTCTTTCTTTGCCTCCTTTGATCTTTCTTCCCAGCCCAAGATTCAACCTCCAGCTTTCTTTCCTTCTCCATCTACATCCTTTGCCTGAAAGAACTCTCTAGTTATCTTGGTTTCAACTCTTAACCCTGCACGAGGGACTCCCAGACATATATGATCTTGCCCCTGGGAGCTATTTACGGGGAAGTCCCCCTATCTGAACCTCACGTCCAGAGGTATATTCCTTCTCTCCAGCAATAGCCGGTATTGGCTGTGTTATTTTGACACCTCCTTCTTTTCCGTCATTCTCGTATCCATGTACTTTTGCCTTGCAAAGCGTCTCAGACTCATTCTCTCTTTCCATTGCTTCTGCTTCCTTTCTATTTTCCTGATGGCCTCCTAACAAGGGTAACACCCCAGAGTGTCAGAGTGTTAATCTTGGCTGTCTGCAGAGTGTGAATATCTCTTAGAGACAATCCTTCTTGAGGCCAGGCCACAGAGCTCCCTCCTCACTCCCTTCCTCCCCTCCCAGGGTCTAAAAACCTCACTGCCTCCAGTCCTGTGCACTAAGGCGGAGCTGAGCGAGAGCCCCAGGTAAGAGAGTAGGACACGAAATGGGGCAATGCCGGGGCACCACAGGGACCACAGGACTTGGGAATGTGGAAGGAGAGAGAGAGAGAGAGCGGGGAGAGGCTCCTGCCTATCCATGGGGTGGCTCTGTCGAGTGGCCACTGTTCTTTCACTCAGAGGAATCTTGTTTAACTAGGTATACTCAGAGTTGGGTAAATCAAAACAGTTAATTTCAATACAAGTGCCATGTTGTGCGTGTGTCATATTTTTGCTAAAATACTCTGACCAAGTGTCTTAAATATATTTTACGGCAACTTTGTAACCGATTTACCTCATGGAAGATATTCATCATGTAATTGGCAAAGCCATTCCGCCTTGCCAAGTCAATCAGCCAAATCGAAGTATTTGAGTTCTTTCTGAGTTATATGCCCCCAATGATATTTAATGATCAGCTGTTAGGGAAAAAAAATTTCATATTTCCTTTTTAAAAATATTTTATTTATTTATTTGAGAGAGAGAGAGAATGAGTGCATGCAGAGGGAGAAGGAGAAGCAGGCTCCCCACTGGCCTCACTGAGATGTGGAAGGCTATGGTGAAGTGCTTCTGGAAGGTACTCGTTGGGAGTAGGCCCAGAGTGAGCTGTGAGCTTGTAACTCTGCAGGGTGAGGGAGGAGAAGTGGAAGGCCATGCCACAGTAAGGGAAGGAGGAAGAGGAGGGGGTTAAAGAGAGAGAGAGAGAAGCTCAAGGAAGCATCTATGAGGTCAGTAGAGTCCAGTGTGGTGAAGAGAGGAGGACATGAAGGACCTTCTTAGTAGGTAAAGTTCCTGTCACTGTTCCACGCACTGTGGTGACTTGTGTTAGTCTCCATAACAAACTACCACAGACTGAGTGGCTTAAACAACAGAAATGTGCTCCCTCATAGTTCCGGAGGCCAGAAGTCTGAAATCAAGGTGGGCGCAGGGCTATGCTCCTTCTGAAGCCTAGGGGAGGAATCTTCCTTGTCTTTTCCAGCTTCTGGAGGCTCTATGCATTCCTTGGCTATGGCCATAT